GGAGCAAGGGAGAATGAAGAGAACAGGATACAAGGAAAAGATTATTCCAAAGGACTAATGGACCACAGCTACCAAGGCCTCCACCAGACTGAGTCCAGTACAGCTAAATGGTGCCCGGCTACCACCACTGACTGCTCCGACCGGGATCACAACAGAGGGTTCTGTACAGAGCTGGAGAAGGATGTAGAACAAAATTCTAACTCACAAAAAAGAAAAAAGACCAGATTTACTGACCTAAAACAGATTGGAGAAACCCTTAGAGTATGGCCCCCAGACACCCTTTTAGCTCAGTGGGGAAGTCACTTCCGAGGTTCACCATTCAGCTGGGGATTGGACAGCCCCGTAAAACAAAACGGGACTAATGAGGCACAGCAGTCCAGGGACAAGGACTAGAAGGCAGAAGGGGACAGGAAAGCTGGTGATAGGGAACCCAAGGTTGAGTAAGGATAGTGTTGACGTGTAATGGGGTTGTTAACCATTGTCATAGGGCAACATGTGTACTGTTTAATGAGAAACTATTTGTTCTGTAAACCTTCATCTAAGGCACAAAAAAAAAAATTTGTGAGATCAGATTGACAACAGCAACTCGAAAGGTTTGATGGGAAGCCTAGGGAACAGTGAGTTGAAGATAATGGTGATGGAATAATTTGGAAAAGGATAGTGAGAATAGTAGCACAACTGGAAGACTTTAATCCATGTCACTGAGTTGTACATGTAGAAACTTTTGAAACGGTGTAACTTTGACTATGTATATTTTCATAAAAAAAAAAAAAAGTCCTCCAAGGCTGAGAAAGGAGTGCTGACATGTCGTGGGGTTGTTAACCAATGTCATAAAACAATATGTGTACCACTGTTTCATGAGAAACTATTCTGTAAACCTTCATCTAAAGTACAGTAAAAAAAAATTAAAAAAGAAAAAGATAATCATACCTTCCAAATAGGAGAGTGATGAGCACTAGATGAAATAATAAGATTATGTTTCGAAAGTGCCTGGCACATCATAGGTGATCAGTATGAAGTACTAATCCTGTGAAAGTTTTGTTCTTGTAAATACAAACTCAAAATAGCACTATTGAACCCCTGTGGGTGAATACAACTCAAGTTCCCTAAAGCAAAATTTTTTAAAAAGCAGCGGGATTGCGTCCTCCAAATTAACAAACTTTCACCGTCTCCTGGTAGAAGAGATTTCTTCAAAATTTCCCACTGAAAAGCAGCCTGGCCCAAAGCTAGTCCAGTCCAAAATAACAGGATGGGAACCTTCTTTCTCTTTTTCGAAGTACCATATAAATCAGGACCCAGGTTTTTATACGAGTACATGCAAGAGGCTTCATATAAATATGGGGTGATAATAAATGGCTTATCATTGCTGAGTTTACAGACTAAAAACAGATGGCCTCAATAAGGGAAATACTGCCACTTCCCCCTCCCAGCTTCATCCCTGTCCTACTGCCTCCTTCAAAGGGTTTTTAGTCCGGTCTTGACTGGTTAAGATCTTACAGGGCTTTATAAGAAAGCTAACATCTAACCTTCCGTCTGGAAGGGACAGTTAACTGACGTTTGCTGAGCGCTAACCGGGCAAATTTTTAACCCACTGGATTTTCACGATGGTTTAAACAGCGGTATTTTACACCATTTTATAGGAAAGCAGAGATGAAGTCATTTATCTGTAGTCTCACAAAGAGTAAGTGGCAAAACAACTGGCTAATTCCAAAACCAGAAGCTGATGGCAATTGCGGGGAGAGGAACGTTGTGTTTTCGAAAATAGCTGAGTAAAAGTGTGATGGTGGAAGTAAGCAAGTCTCATACGCTCGTTAGAGATGGTGAGCGAGAGCATGACAGTAGAATAGAAGTCTCTTTCGGAAACACAGGAAATATCAAGGGGGTATTTGCACCTTCCATTGGCGCTCCAAACCTAAACCCAGGCACGTGCCGTTTCTAATCACAGAGAACACAGGGCACACCAACAGAGGCGTAGCGAGAAGGGCTCAGTTAGAGGGGGGCATTTGCCTCCGGACGCAAGTCCAAGGGGCGCCAAACAGGCCGGCCCGCAAATCACCCCCCACCTTCGTCAACGAAGCCGGCTAGTGAATCTCACCACCCTCCCCGCGTCGACGAGCCCAACGGGGGGAGGGGGTGCAAATTTAGAGATTGCCCTTGTGCGCTCGTTACCCTCGCCACGCCTCTGTATACTGAGTGTGTCAATGTCAATGGAGGGGGGTGTTGGGACCCAGAGCATTCCGTCAATAATTTACTAAATCGAGAAATCCTAAATCTCCATCTGTAACTCTTATCAACTCCCATTTTTCTTGTGTTTTGGAGATTAACATATTTGAAAGAAGACCACGGCAGAAGAAATTAAAGGTGGGTGTGAATGTTTTCACTCTGGATTTGCTTAACTGATTTCTGAGTCCTTATAAGGGAGGCCGTTAGAGGCTGGATTATTGACAAAGGTTTTGCTATGTAACCACGACCTATTACATTAGAATATTTAAGAGATTACCCTGTAGGGTGTGTCTGTCAGGTGACCCATCTATTTTCAGCTACATATAAGAAGTAACCCTGACAGAGTGCCACCAGCCATCTGGGAAACCAGAATGCATGGGGAATTGTCTTTCCCAAGAAAATGCTTACAAGTCAAAGAAGTTCCCCCCAGTCCCCTCCAAGACTTAGAATTAGCGTTTGGGAGAACAATTGGAAAACAGATTTTTTAAATGTTATTTATTTTGCTTTTAAAATCCCACTTCCCTGCTGCTTGTTTGAGAACTCTTTAGGTCTCTCTTATACATCTGAAATAGGGTCAGGAATTGGGTGAAAGTGTGTGGAGGCTACTAGGACCGGGAGTGTGGTGGGAGACCTTCAGACCCTTCTGACATCCCATTTTTTAATTCAAACCACCAGGGACTCTTAAAGATGATCTGAATCTTCTAGTTTCAGAAGAATAACTCTGGCTCAGAGAGGCTACCTTGCCCAAGGTCACACAGCTCATTAATGACCTTGAAAGGCCAGCTTCAGGATTCCATTGTATCACCAGCCCCCCAGTCCACTGTTCTATTTTTAAGGTGCCAGTTATCTCCCTGGTGCACTGGCCTGTTTGACCAAGGTTTGAGGACTTTGGAAGGATTTTCACCATTTGTTGCTCCTGCCCAGTTGCAACACTGGGGGCCAAAATTGCCTCAGGCCAGAGGAAAGAAGTGCAGGGAATCAGCAGGGAAGGAGGAACAAGGGGCAGAAGGGACTCACTCAAAATGCGTCTAAACCACTGGTGAAAGGGGAAGGAAACCGTGATGGAGACAAAGGTGGAGTTGCTCAGAGAACTTGGACCACGCAATTTTCCCTTTGTACACAAAGGATCTGGTCCCCATTCTTCATTTATTTATTCAAGCAGCCATTCATTCCACCAATCAATGTCTGGTTCTTGCCAGGTACAGTGCTAGGCACTGAAGCTTCAGGAATTCCTGAATTCCAGAACCATCGTTCTGCCATCTCAGGCAGTTGCCTCTAAAGCCCCCAAAGACAAGGAAAGCTGCAGAGCCCCAGACCCAGGTACGTGAAGATGAAACTAGAGGAAACTTGGAAATGCTTGAACTGGTCTCCCCGCTCCTCTTTCTGAACCCTATTCTCACTCATTTCTTTACCATAAACTCCACCTCCAATCAAGCCAAGGTGGGTTGACACGCCCCCCACACTTTATCCTCTTACTGTCTGCTTGTTATTTCCTCTTTGGGGATCCCTGTCCTGTAGCAGCCCCAACCCTATTGTCTCTACCTATGCAGTTTTCTCTACCTTCAAGTCCCAACTTAAATACTACCCTACTCCTAAACTCACACCACTTTTATACTTCATTCTAGAATGCTTAGTCCTGGCAGTGAGAAAACTGTCCTTTTCAGCTTAGTATCCTTGTCAAGAGGAATTTTATAATACATGCATTTAAGAAATGAGTCTAAGTTCAAGGAAAATTCATCTGCTACAAGCAATGGTTCCCAATCCTGGTTCCAGAGCCCTGGTTAGATATATTTTTTCAAATATACAGACTATTGAGGTTGAGGCTTTCTTTTAAATATAAACACAAAAAAAAGTATCTTAATTCCTAGTAGCCTTTTGTCAGTCCACAGATACAATTACGTGGGTATCTTGGAAATTTTTTGACACTAAAATATAGTTTTCAAAAAAGGATCCTTTTAGCAAAGTAACACCATGGTTCAGTTCTGCCTACCTAAACAGGATTAGGAGCAGGAGTTACTCTCTGAAGACCTTCAAATGTAATCCTGCAGATTGGCCCACCTTTTATGAAGCCAACTTCCCCCTCCTCCTCCTGCAATACAAAGCCCCTTGGGGAGCTGGCAGCAGTCAAGTATCATTTCTCCTCCAGCTCTCATCTCCTGCTGCCACCTTCCTCCAGTAACCCTTCCTCCCCCTAGCCCCACTTAAAGGAGGAAACTTCCATTCTACTTTGTCAGGAGACTATTTTTTGAGGGCAGGGGTGGGGTGGCGTGGTTCCTAGAGTAAAGCTAGAACTAGAGGTATCTTTTAGTTCTCACACTCAAACAGGAAGGCCATGAGTCACACCTACTTCTGCACATGACCTGCAGGGATGAAGCAATACTTGCTGTTCTAGAGCCTGGGCAGAGCAAGGCAGAAGTGTGAGGTCACCTAGGAGGAACTGCTGGGAGCTACTCTTGCCTTAGACAGACCTTGGAGCAATCAAGTACCTCTGATTAGATCCTGGATTTCTATAGCCTCCTTTAAATAAATCACCCTGGGGCGTTACTGTAAGGCTTTTGGCAGCACTCAAGATGGACGCCTGCTGTTGGTTTCCTCTCCCAGTTCAGGTGTAAATTCCTTGGCAGCAGAGACCATGCCAAATGCCCCTGCGTCCTCCAGCTCCTACCACAGGCCTGGTGTGGTCAAAGGTGCCTGCTGATGGAAATCAGTTCAGATATTTTGGCCAGAGAGTGAACACTTCAGAGTTTACACAATGAAGAAATAAACACAGGGGGGAATAAAAGGTGGTAATTTTTAAGTTTATTGCTACAGTATCAAATTTTATATATATATAAATAGTTATAGACCATAAATACTGATATGACAAACTATCTGCCTCTAGCCAAAAAGACAAAAAGATACCATTTACAAGCATTAAATGAAACTAACAGCATTATGTAATACTTACGGAAAACAATGCTGAGGTAATTTTACATCTAAAGTGACTATAAACCGTTCCCGTCAACTTGATTCTGACTCATAGCGAGCCTGCCTATAGGACTGAGGAGAACTGCCCCATAGGATTTCCAAGGAGTGGCTGGTGGATTCGAACTGCTGACCTTTTGGTTAGCAGCCAAGCTCTTAACCACCGAGCCACCAGGGCGCCAATGTAACTATAGCCTATATTAAAACATTCTTACTGTAGGAATTCAAGTAGTTATGAAACCTTTGTCTCATAACTAAAAAATACAAGGTTAACTAATGTACATTCAAGCTAAACAAAAAAGATTTTAATTATAAATAGGCATAATAAATAAGATTATTCCTGATGAAATTCAATAATGACATTATTACTTGTTAGTTGTGTATTTGGAGATTTTGTTTACAGTCAACCTTTAATAATAAAAAACAAAATGCATGAAATCTTTCTAGGGCTCTGCACAGCACTCTAATGTAAATGCATCTACATAGATGCCCTTGTGTGTGCGCACACACATATGTACACATATATTTGTGTGTGTATACACAGAATTTTCATTCTGGATGAGAAACATCTGTTCCTCTTCTTTAAAAAAAAGTACACCCCATTATGAAAACATGATTCATTTCTGTTTTTTAAAAAAAAATCACTTTTTATAGAATGCACAGCGATTAGTATAAGGAACGAGAATTTTACAGATTTTTAGAAACTTCTTTAGAAAGATATTCTTTTTCTTTCCAACGGTTACTTTAGAAGATTTGTCTTACTAGGTTCCAATTAGACCAGTAAAAAAGCCAAATTTCTTTTCTTTATTATTCCTGGTTATGTAAAATCCCCACTCTCTTTATCATTAGATATTCAATCTGCAAGAGTTTTACTGGCACCAAGTAATGACTCTTATAAGTCTATGGACTTTTTTAAAAAGACATACTTTCCAGTTCATGCTCACAGGGATACATTTAATGAGCGGTCATCTGAACAGAAGCAGTACAACGTCTGAGTCAAAAGACACAGATTATCAAATGACTTTACATTTTGTAGTGACCTACGAAATCAACATTCGCTATGACAGTCAGTGTTCTCAGAATGCAATTTTGACTATTAACAATATAGTATGGATGAACCAAATATTATACATTGCTCTGGAGTTGTCATCCAAAAGTAGACAGAACAATTGAACATATTCTGTTTCTTCCACCACGTTCACAGTCTTTTATCAACCCCTCTTACATGGGAAGCAACCTTCAGCGAAAATACTAGAACAATTCTCTAAGCAAAAAAGAAACATATAATTACTTCCTTATTTCAAAGATCTTCCATTCTTGCTTTCAAACAAACAAAACGGTTTTATAATGTTCTCCCATCCCAAAGAATGGCTTCTGGGAAACTTCCATCTTCGTTTCCAAAGGTATTCAGAAACCAAGCAAGTGCTGCTTTATGTTCCCCTGGATTACAACTGGTAAATTTACACCTACTGGGGTTTTAAAGGAATCTCCTCATTCAAGGGATCTTAAGCAGTCAGGTGCCTGAACAGAAGAGTTTGGATATCACATTCAGAAGCTTCTGCCGGAAATTCAGCTTGTCTCCAATTTTCCTCAGTTGAACAGCACACTCAACTTCGTGCTCTGAAAAGGAAAGAAAATATCAACATTAGCATTGACAACATTCCAGACTATACCCAACTAGAGTTAATGTGCCCATCAAAGCAAGTTATTTATCTTAGCTTTATGTAAGCCTGATCTCTGAATAAGAGAAAGACTTAGAAGGACCAAACACATACACACACACTCCACATACACTGACACACTATGACTCATAAACAACAACAAAAAACAGTAAAGGTAAGAATAAAGACACTTATTCTGAATTTTGTTTTTAAAAAGCATCGTGAATGAGGCAAATGTTACTTTCAAATATGGAAATTTAATATGTCAAACACCACGAAGAGTAACTTTAGCCAGCCTTTACCAACCCCAGGTGAGGTCATCCTTTTCTCTCTCATTTAAGGATGGTTGGGGAAACAGAAGCCAAGTTCTAAACTCTTCTGTGTTGTTTTCAAATAGGATTCATTTTTTAAATGTCAATAATTATTCATAGCTTAGGTTATATCCTCAAAAATAAGCCAATCTAAATTTATCCTTTTCCTCATTTAAAAAAAATTTGTTAGAATTTTTATCATAAAACTCATTACATTTTATTTCAAAATTAAGTCTAAATTCTCTGAATAATTTAAGTTTACATTTTACTTTAGCAAAAATTTCTTCCTACAAGCCCATTCTGTAACGATCCATTGCCTTTGTAGAGATGACTGAAGCAGAAAACAAGTGATGTTTAATTTCTACATTTCCCTGCTTTTTAGAATTGAGATACCGTAATTAACTGAGTATTAATTTAAGAAAAATAATGCTTATAACCTAATTTCCAAGTAAATTTATAAGCAAATGAAATTAAACCTAAAGCTATACTAAGCATAATTTTAATTTTCTCTGATATTTCAAAGAGCAACTCAGGGTCTTTTAGTCTACTTGAAAACAATGATTATGAACATTAAAAATCACTGACTACAAATCTGGTGACTGGGCTCAAAATAAATGAAAAGAGTAAATATATAGTAAAACAGATTTTTAAACCTCCATTTCAGTCAATTTCTCTACAAGAGCTGGGCAAAATCGTCCCTACCCTGTTAAAACCAAACCAAACCCATTGCTATCGAGTTGACTGCAACTCAGTCGGGATACCCTATACTGTGTAGGGAGAAGCTCATAGCCACCCTATAGGGCAGGGTAGAGTTGCCCCATAGGGTTTCCAAGGAGCGGCTGATGGATTCGAACTGACGACCTTTTGATTAGCAGCCAAGCTCTCAGCCACTATACCACCAGGCTGCCTGAGAACTATTAGTTCTTTAGTAAGTACTTTCTTAAAGGGTAAGGTGGAGCAGTGGCTAAGGGTGGTTAAGTGGTTAAGAGCTCACAGCTGCTAACCAAAACGTCATCAAATTCACCAGGTGCTCCTTGGAAACCCTACGGGGCAGCTCTACTCTGTTCTATAGGGTCGCTATGAGTTGTCAGAATCTACTCCATGGCAATGGGTTTGGGTTTTTTTTTTTTGTTTTTTTTTTTTTTTGGAATAGATACCTTAGGATGCCATTCTTTATAGGCCATAGGGTCAGGTTTACTCCAAACATTTTGAGAAGAATTTACAAAGACATGTTTACTTTTCAGTGAGTGGGATGTTGGCGTCAAAACTGACTTTATGGCAACTAACTAGATATCATTCAGCACAAAATTTTGGGAGCCCTGAATTCTAAGAGCAAAAATGATCCCTTTCACCAAAAAAGAAAATAGCTCCTAGTTGTTTCCTTAATTTTTTTTTTTTTTTGCTTCACATCTATAAATGTACTAATATCTAATCAAGTTTAAGAGGGACTTTCTGCTGTTCCTTGTTATTGCGAACCAAGTAGGTGGGTCTGGGAGGGCTATGCACAGGTTACAGGCAGACCTTTAGGAAACAGTCAGAATTTTGAACATGGTCAAAACTCTTTCTACCCCAAGCAAGAGACAGACAGGGCGGCCTGGTCCCACACAGCCACAGTCACATTCACAAACCACCACCACTTCCTCTGCCGCCACAAGGGCTCTATAAAACGAAACTACCTAAGAGAGGTGCCTATTAGCCTTCTGACGCAATAGCAGTAGGACCTACAGGAATATGAAACCCAGAGGCCGATCACCCTTCCTCGCTACTGTCCCTCACTGATGGCTACCTTCTTTGATAAGATTTATGAAAGGATGGTGGGGTGGGCGGGGGTGACTTGAAAAGTCGTCTGATTGAGATTTGTGTGCGAGGGATGGAGCGAGGAACGGATGGAAGGGTGGAAAAGGATTGGGGAGCAACCTCTTTTCGTCTATTAGCGCCATCCCACTCCCCGCCGCAATAATACGGAGCATTTAAAGTGTACACTCTTAAGCTTCGAAGAGTTCCAGGTTCCCAAATGTAGAAGCTCTTGCGAGGTCCCCATAAATCCTCCACTAGCCCTGTGTGGAGGAGCGGGGGTAGTAACAAGCTTTAGCATTGTGTAGGGAGCTTTTGTTAGCGTTTGGTAACAGAGTACAGACACTCGGAGGACCACGACTCCAGAGGGAAAGGCCTGTTGCGGGCAGCGCCGGGGAGCACTCTGAGCAGGGGGGCCCGCTCCCGCCCCACCTCCCGTGACAATCACCTTCTCCTCACTGAAGCCGCCCACACTTGCACTTTTTGTCCCCACGGCCCCTCGGCAGGGCAATCTGCATGTTGAGGGAGAGGGAAGGGAGGAGAGGGGAGCTTTCCGCCCCGGCTAAAACGCAGCAGCATCCCAATTCCTAGCAAAGCTCCCTCACCGGCCGTCTCCACGGTCCTGGGAAACCCCCGCAAGGACTTCCTAGAGGCGCTCCAATCGCGCAGACCTGGCCCGACCTGGACCCCCGTGCAGTCTGGCCCCAAGCCCCGACCTCGCCCGCCCGAAGCCGCCACCCTGGCCCGCCGGGTCCCTCCGGCCCACCTGGTGCTTACCTGCTAGCGCGCGCGTGGGGCTTGGCTGCGAGATCTTGCGCGCCTTCTTTCCCGGCATCTTTGCGAGCAGCTGCTGGAAGCTCTGCGGTGACCCTGCGGGCACAGTCCCCAATCGAGCGCCCTGAGCTCTGTCTGCAGGACGCGGGCTGCGTACCGGGAGTACACAGGACCGGGCAGGAGGCACGTGGAAGTACTACAGAATTCAGTACGCACGGGTGGAACGCTGAGAGCCCGCCCGCGCGCTCGACTTTTTTAAGGGACTTCCCGGTGACGTAGGGAAACTTGAAGCCCCCACCGGCCTCTCTCCGCCCCAGGACGTCGCTGTGGGAGGAGCGCGCCACGGCCGGGACTGCGGGAAACTTCGCGCCGCCGCCGCGGATGCAACCTGCCCAGCCGCGCTCTGCATGTGTAGCGGCGCCGACCCCGTGCCACGATCCTTACAGGCGGCGGCGCCGACCTCCGGGCACGTACCCCCGGCCGCGCTTCCGTCCAGCTGCGGCGCCGGCTCGGGCAGGTGGCGCAGAGCGTTGGGTGGGCCAGGCGGCGACCGCCGGTGAGCCTGCAGCGCCTTCCGAGTGCGGAAGACGGTGGCAAGCAAGACCCTGCCCCAGCCCGTAAATCACTTCCTGAAATGACGAGGAGAGGAGACTCGGTAGGGATGGACAACTTGCAACAACCGGACCTCGAGTCAGTTGCAATTGTGACGTGGTTTTAGGAATCGCAAGAGGAGAAAGGTTTTCCTAGCAGGAAAGTTGAGGTGGGGAGAGTCCGCGCCTTGTCCTTATCATAAATAGGCAATTAGAGGTATCTGTAAACAGTCCCCGGAAAGAGTTCGGGAAAGAAAGGTTTTCACACTAAGAGAGTCTGGCTAGTTCCAGCGAAGTGAAAAGAACAGAACTTTAATAACAGACAAGATACGTGTCTGTGTAGGTGGAAGGGAGACTGGTTTTCGGCCGGGTTAAGTCCAACTCGGAAGATTAGATAGGAACCTTAGGGGTCAATGAGCGAGAGGAACAACTCCGAGGAGGGTGAGAATGGTTGCAGAACTTGAGTGTAATCAGTGTCACTGAATTGTACACACAGAAATTACTGGCTTGGTATATGTTTAGCTGTGTATATTCTCACAACAACAACAAAAAAATTTTTTTTAAGTAGAGCATATTCCCTTTGGATGGGGGGTAGATATTATCCATTCTGGAGGTTTAGTAACAAAAAAGGGTGGGTGATCATACAGAGAAGTTTCAAGTGCATTTATGAAAGGAGGAATGAGATATCTGGGAATATGAAACCATTTACACAATGTTTGACGCTTAAGTAATTCCATTATTATGAACAGAAAGAGTAATTAGGAATAGTTAGCAGGTGTTGAGGGCCACTTCTTGCTAAGGGGCCTCACAACGACCCTAGGAAGCAGATATTAAGATCATGGCCACTTTACAGGTGTGAAAACTGAGGTCTATAGAGCTTAAGTAAATGGCCCAAGCTCACATAGGGAGAGGGCAGTGCCCGGACCTGAACCCAGGCAGGCCCACCTGAAGCAAGAGCTCTTAACCATTACAGCCAGCAACTGAAGTTTCTTAGAAAATGAGTGTTCCTGATTTATCTGCGCTATTTAATGCAGAGGTTGCAAATTGGCTGCTGAGAACTGCATGGCTCCCCAGAAGTCTTTGCTTTGGCTCATATTTGCCTGCAAAGTGTCTTGTGAAAATTTGAATTGATTACCAGTATTTAAAAATTGAGGAATTGAATAAAAGCCAGGTTTGGACATATTGTCAGGAGGTACCAATCCCTGGAGAAGAACATTATACTTGGTAAAGTAAAACCTGTTGCTGTCAAGTCGATTCCGACTCATAGCTACCCCGTAGGGCAGAGTAGAACTGCCCCCATAGGGTTTCCAAGGAGCGGTTGGTAGATTCTAACTGCCGACCTTTTGGCTAGCCGCCGAGCTCTTAACCACTGCGCCAGCAGGGCTCCATTAACCACTAGAGGGTCAGCACAAAAGAAAAAGACCCTAAATGAGATGGATTGACTTAGTGGCTGCAACAATGGGCTCAAACATACCTACTATTGTGAGGATGGCACAGGAGCTAGCAACGTTTCATTCTGTTATATATACATAGGGTCGCCGTGAGTCAGAACCGACTTGACAGCACCTAACAACAACATTAGAAAATCAGAAGCTCTGATAACCCTGGGTTCTTGTTCCAAAAGTGGAGAATAGACTACAAGTGTGGCCGCAGGCTGGCCCTTTAGAGGGGTGCTGCTGTTTACCACACTCCCTGCTCTGTTTGCTTTAGTCATTTACACTATCTGGCTTGCTTATTTATCTTAAATCATTCAATCAACACAAACCAGCAAGTATTTTATTTATGGCATCGTCCTGCAGAGGGTGTAGACAAAGCTATAAGCATGACACAAAGCTACCCTTGAATTTAAATGACTTAATTTTGAGGCTGATGTTGGGTGCTTTTGAGTGTGGTAAATAGGTCAGAATCCGAGCTGACAGAATTCCGGAGTCACCACCACAGGACACAGCAAGAGGAGGGCAGATGCTGCTTTGAAATGTTACCTCACACCTGAGATCCCAAAACCACTGTGGCCCCCTCAAGGCTAGTTTTTATATACTTAACATAGACACTAACTTCCGGATTGGATCAATGTAAACTTCTATTCAAATTATGCAACCTGAAATGCAGTGAATATAATCAGCAAAAGAAAAGCGTAGTATAACAGTGTTTACCTACAAAGGGCTGCCCTCTAACATTATCATTATAAAAGGTCATTGGTCATGTGACAAATAAAAAAACCAAACCTATTGCCATTGAGTCGTAAAAGAACCAAACCCATTGCCATCAAGTCAATTCCAACTCATAGTGACCCTATAGGACAAAGTAGAACCACCTGTAGGGTTCCCAAGAAGCAGCTGGTGGATTCAAACTGCTGACCTTTTGGTTAGCAGCCTGAACTCTTAACCACTATGCCACCAGAGCTACTGTGTGACTTGTAACGGAAATAAATCTTAGGCAAGTTTGTAGAGCCTGTGGTCTATTTTGTTGTTGTGGGGTCCCTTCAAGTCAATTCCAACTCATGCTGACCCTGTGTGACAGAGTAGAACTGCCTCATAGGGTTTTCTTGGCTGTAATCTTTACCGAAGCAGATCACCAGGTCTTTCTCCCTAGGAGCTGCTGTGTGGGTTCAAACTGTCAATCTTTCGCTTAACAGCCAAGAGCTAATTTGCTGGGAAGAAAAGGGAGGAGAGCGGTAGGGGGAGGTAGGCTTCAGAGCTGGATGAAAACCAAGTGGATTAGGAGGACTTTTTATGCCTTTGGATTTGATATGGTCCATAAACTGTCAGAGCTAATCTAACATTCTATTAAGGGACTATAGTGAGAGTCATGAGAAGCTGAGAGAAAAACTGCTGTTGACTGTATACCTTTCTGTAAAGGTGATGTATCATTTAATGTTGGACTTGAACGAAATATAAACGTATGGGGATACTTAGTCCATCTAGGCTGACAAACAGCAATGTTCATGAGGATGGCACAGGACTGGGCAGTGTTTCATTCTGTTGTACATAGGGTTGCTGTGAATTGAAACTTACTCGACAGCACCCAACAACAGACTGAAAAAATAATTAATGAAGATTTACCATGAAGCAGGAGATCCCCTACTATCTTCTTTAAAAAAATTTTTTTTTAAATATAGGATGGGTGAGGATGATAATTTTAAAACTATTACCAGATAATCAGTTTTTACAAACCAAGTTCAAAAATGACCATGCCAGTCTGGCCATGTCTGTGTTAACATTTAGAGCTAAAAATATAGTGAAACGAACAAGCATAAAAAGCAGTAAAAGAGTCGTTTATATATATTTCATGGAGAAAATGGGATTTGACAGGAAACAAGGATGTGTGATGAGTGAGGGGGCTTCTAGAGGAAGCCTGTGATGACAGGTTACAGGCTGTAGATCTGATTCGGTTTATTCCGATAAAAGGGGATTTGGTTTTTTCCTGTGTAGTGTGTTTGTGAACGTGAGATTAGACGGATGCATTGCTCAATTAAATCTGTATTTACTTGAAGACAGTCACCAGGCTAATCTCTGGGGAGACAGTGTTCCCAACCCCCAGGGGACCTGCAGTGAAGAGATTAGTGCTTTACAGATTTGATGTGCATAAGAATCACTTGGGTATCTTGTTAAAATGCACATCTGATCCTGGAGGGCCCATTGTAGCCTGAGATTCTACTTCTCTAACAAGCTCTGTGAGGCTGTTGATTCTGGCCTGTGGACATCACTTTGAGGAGCAAGGCTAGCGGGGGATGAGGATAAGTAAACTGGCAAGTGCAAAGAAGAAGGAGCAGTAGTTTCTATTACTAAGGACATATTTTCCGACTACCAATCCTTCTCTGTTTCCAACTTTCTCATTCCAATCACCAGTAATTATCAGTGCATCTTGATTAAATGTTTGATCAATTTCAGACCGCAGAAGTTGGTAAAAATCTTCAGTTTCCTCATCTTTGGCGTTAGTGGTTGGTGCATAAATTTGAATAATAGTCACATTAACTTGTCTTCCTTGTGGGCATATGGATATTATCCTATCTCTGACAGTGTTGTACTTCAGGATAGATCTTGAAATGTTCTTTTTGACTATGAATGTAACACCATTCCTCTTCAATTTCTCATTCCCGGCATAGTATATATACTGTATGATTGTCCTATTCAAAATGGCCAGTACCAGTCCATTTCAGCTGATTAATGCCTAGGCTATCGATCTTTACGCATTCTGTTTCATTTTTGATGACTTCCAGTTTTCCTAGATTCGTACTTCATACATTCCAATCCCTATTATTAATGGATGTTTGCAGCTGTTTCTTCTCATTTTGCATCGTGCCACATCAACAGGAAGGTCCTGAAAGCTTTACTCCATCCACATCATTAAGGCTGACACTACAACAGCAATAACTATTTAAAGGAGGCAGCTCTTCCCCAGTTACGTTTTGAGTGCTTTCCAACCTGAGGGCTCATCTTGTGGCACTATATCAGACAGTGTTCTGCTGCTATTTATAAGGTTTCCACTTGATAAATTTTTTCAGAAATAGACAGCCAGGTCCTTCTTCCTAGTCAGTCTTAGTCTGGAAGCTCAGCTGAAACCTGTCCAGCATGGGTGACCCTGCTAATATTTGAAATACTGGCGGCATAGCGTCCAGCATCCCAGCAACATGCAAGCCACCAGAGTA